TTCTTATCTACAAACTACGTAGTTACGGAGTAGTTCACTCTAATTTAAAGTGGCTTCAATGTTATTTAGAAAACCGTAAACAAGGTGTACCATATGATCTAACATGCTCCCCATTTGAATCAATAAGTTGCGGAGTTCCACAAGGATCAATACTTGGACCTTTATTGTTTTTAGTTTATATCAATGATATTTTTTTGTCTTCAAAAATACTTAATTATACTATTTTTGCTGATGACACTAATGTTTTCTTTTCTGACTCAAATTTAAAAAATATTTTTTATTATGTAAACGCTGAACTAATATATCTTAATGAGTGGTTTATAGCAAATAAACTATCATTAAATATTGAAAAAACTAAATATATTTTGTTTGCTAAACCATCTCAATCCGAGAACCTTCCACTTAAACTTCCAGAACTAACAATTAACAATATTAAAATAAAAAGAGTTTTTTCAATGAAAATACTAGGAATAAATTTCGATGAACATTTAAATTGGAAAAGCCAAATAAAATTAGTCGAGAACAAAGTTTCAAAGACTGTGGGGATTATGTACAGGACAAAACATCTTTTGAATAAAATATGTTTAAAAAACTTATACTTTTCATTTATACATAGTCATATTAACTATTGTAATATTGTCTGGGCAAACAATCATTCATCTTTCCTAAAAAATATTTATACTAAACAAAAGCAAGCAAGTCGATTAGTTTTGGGCGCAGATAGGTACGAAAGTGCCAAGCCGTTACTCAAGGAAATTAATGCGCTAAACGTATACGAACTAAATATATACCATAACTTGTTATTTATGTTTAAACTTCAAAATGAACTAATTCCAAAATATTTTTATAAAGGTTTCTCTCTAATTAACCATAAATATGAAACAAGACACTCAATAAATAATTACTACATCCCATCAACATCACTCAAAAAATCTGACTTCTCAATTACATGTCGGGGGCCACGCTTGTGGAAGTCAGTTCTTGACGAAAATATGAAAAAAATAAAATCTATTGATATATTCAAAAGAATTATAAAAAAACACTTACTAAACTCAAACATTACATACATTCTTTCATTTTTTTAAAAATAATATTTTTTTGATAAATTTGATAAAAAGCTTTTTTTTTTTTTTTTTTTTTTTTTTTTTTTTTTTTTTAATATATATATATACATATATATCTTTCTTGTTTGATTTTCTCTTTGACTGTTTTTTTTTTTAACTTTTTTTAATAAATACTAGCAAATGAATTTAAATCTACATAACGTTTGGAATCTTTTTAATATATAAATATTTTTGAATATATACTTCGCTTTGTATTGAATATGTATACGTATATGTTCTGATTTGTAAAAAAAAATTCAAACTTTTTAATTTACGCATTGTATACATTTTTATTTTTTTATTTCGAGATTTTATTATTATTATTATTATTATTTTTTTTTTCTTTCTAATTTTTACTTTTTTTAATTTTTAATTTATTTTAAACTTTTTAATTTTTTTCAATCTTTTTACTTTATTTCAAACTCTTTAAATTTTTTTATTTTTATTTTAATTTTGTTTGAATGTTTGTTTATTTTTTCAAAATTTTTAATTTAACTCTTTTTTATATTATTGGAATTTTAGAAATTTTATATTTCTCTATTTCACAAAAGGGCTTGATGATAAGACTTTATGTCTTCTACTTGCCCCTGTCAGCTTGTAATTATATATATATTTATTCGAATTTAAAGATAACATTGTAAAATGTGTAAAACGACAAAAAATAAACTAAATTAAAATGTGTTGGAAAACGCCAAAGATTAAAAAAAAAAAAAAACTGCCAGCAAGGATTTTTTCTTTACTTGAGTGTTCTGAACCAACCACACCACCATCAAACCATCACCAGGCTTTCGTGATGATAGTGATTCAGATTAAGTTGTTGGACATTTGAAATTATTTTTAATTTAAAAATAGTATAAAATTCGTGTGAAAATGAAAACAACTTATTAAAATTCATTATTTTTCTAAATTTTTCGTATGATGAATATGTTTTTATAGTTATTCCAAGTAAAAAAAAATTTTCAAGTTATCTAAACTGTAAAAAATGAAATGAATTGAACTTGAAAATCTTGTGGAAATGGTTACAACTTAATGTAATTAATTATTGTGATAATGATGTTTTCATTGTTATTCTATTATTAAAACTATTACATTTTAAGTTGTCAATAGTATTTAAAAACCAAATAAAGTTTATTTATTTAAAATGTTTCATGTTTAATTTTTTATATTATTACCGATTTTAACTATTTTGGAAAGAAAACACAATTAATTCGCAATTTCAAGCATTTCTGTGTTTCGCGGTGATTTTATGTGATTTTAATCTTCTTGGAACACCTATAATTTTTAACTATAGGTGCCCTAAAGACTTCTTTGGACACATGTAGTTATATATATATATGTATATATATATACATGCATAACATATGTATAATATTTTTTAGGCCCTCACCACAAAGAAGTGCTTTTTTACATTTTTGTAATTACTATTTTTGATAAGTTGTTGTTTTATAATTTATTTACTTCGATTTTTGGTCAGATTTACTTTAACACAGGATTGAAAAGTTGATCATGATTTTTAAACACTACAGCTCTTTAAAAAAATATGGGTCCCCTACAGCTCTGCCCACCCTACCCCACCCCCTGCGCATTGCGAGGTTTTGCGTTATGGTAGTTCCACCACTGATAGTAAAGGTGAGTTTCCACTCATCCGTTTTTTCACGGGAACGGTATAGGAAAGGGAAAAATAATCACGTGAGCATGCGTAGTTTTCCTTCAGACATATTAAAACTTATACTACGCATGCCCACGTGATTATTTTTCCAGTCCCTTTCCCGTTCCCGTGAAAAAAACGGATGAGTGGAAACTCACTTTATAAGGTGAGTTTCTACTCATCCGTTTTTTATACCGCATTAATATCGAGATACTCAAGTTTTATTTATGTGTTTAACTAATTAGTTAGCTTAGTCTGTATTTGCAACACTTTTGAGGAAAGAAAGAAAACATTCTTATATATGTAGATCATTGTTTTACATTTTATTATTTTATTTTATTCACCTGGTCACCATTAAAGCAAAAAGAGAGGAGGAACCTCTTTATTAGAGTCAAAATATTTAAGAAAATTAAATTTCGAGTGACAAAAGGAATTTTTAGTAAATGGTGGCAAATTTTACCGTTTCCTAAAAATTAATGAAATAAAGAGGCCAAACAAATAATATAGAAATGGTCTGTGTTGAACAGACTTAACAAGACCCGGGACGGGTCAGCTTGGTTTACAAATTTTTTATACTTATCTGTTATATCTGTTTTTTATACTTATAATTTTTTAAATTAGGTTTGTCATACGATGCATTAATGCATTAAGTTTACATATTTTTTCAAATTGATTATACCCATGTTTGATCCTAAATTAAATTTTTTTTGTTTGAAACGTATTTGTACTGAGTTGCTTAGTTATTTATAATAAACTTTGTTATTTTTAATAAATTTATTAAGATGTGTGCATTTGACATTTTTAAGTTAACAATTTTCTTTTCTAAAGAAAAATTAATCAAGGAGATACCAAAAAATTGATAACTCCTGTTTAATATAATTTATTCTTTTTAACTTCATTTTAATCTTAATGGTTCGTGATATATTAATTATTACAAGGATTTAGTTGATACTTTTCAATTTAAAGCATGACGAAGTGTTATTATTTTGTGTCAGTAACTAAAAATGTATTGTGTTAAACTTAGGAAGGTCGATGAAAATGGTTCTGCCTTACACTGTTATGACCTATGCCATTTGTAAATTACTCAAATAATGTTAAGTAGTAATTGTAAATGTTAAGTAATAGTTGGAAAATTATTTTACCTCCTCATACTTTTTATGTTAATTTTACAGACGGACTAATTTTTTTAAGCTGAAGGCGATTTTCTAAAAGGGTATTAGTTAAGTTTTTCCAACATTAAATTGTGGAAAACAGCCACTATAAATTAATTATGTAACAGACCGACCAAAACCCGTATTACGGGTTGCTTTTTGCTAGTCTGATATTAGTTTGATAATCCAAAGAGAAAAATTCCGCGTAACTTTTTTACTTTATACTTCAAAAATTGACTCACCGAAACAGTTGTTTGGAGAATATTCGTTAATAAATAGTTTGGGACGTAACGCATAAAGGTTACGTCATCGCAAAAAAACGTCAACACAAATGTACGCCTAAAACTAACAAGATTAGTTGTAAAACATGACATTTTTGAAAACATATTTCATAACATAGCTGAACGCACGTAAAATAATTTTTTTATTTTCATTTGCATAAAAGGTTGAAAATTTATTAACTTACGTCATCCATCAAAAAAGTTACGTTTTGCATTTAAAAACGATTAATTAAAAAATATAAATGCTTTAAAAACAGCCTTTTTGTGAAAAAATCTCTAGGATGACGCAGGAATCTGATAAAATGGGCATATAGGGTTAAGTGTTCTAAATTTCAACTATCAAGCACTATTCGTTACTGAGCTATGTTATGAAATCTTAGTTGGCCCAACTCATGTTTTCCGGAAAATATGCGAAAATTAGAAAAGTGGTTCTAAATTATTAAAAATATTTTAGCAATATTTATTTTTATACCAATTAATGTAAATATTTATTTAACAAGGAAAGATAGATCTTTTATATTTTTTTAATTGCAAGATGAAAGCATTTATATAAAAAAGTTACTATTAATTTAAAGTTTGTGAATTTTTATACTTTTTATGCGGAAATACTCTTTTTTGATAAACTCATGACGTCACGCTCGATTTTATATTGAGTGAAACAGCCGTGGTTAACGTACTTTGAATTACCTTTTTTTTTTTTTTTTTGCGCTACATACATTTTACGTATCGTGCGTTTCTTTTCGTTTGTATTTTTGTTTATCGTGTGAATCTTGATTTATTATGACGGTAATATTCGTTACGCAGTTTATGAAACGTTTTTGTTTTAACTTTTAAAATTAACGAACCCGAGCATTTTTTTTTATTTTTTTTTAAATGGATCCTCCAAAAGATTTTATGACAAGTTCATTACATACAAATAGTTCTAAAAATAATGAATATGAAGGACAATTTACATTCGAAAGTTTTCCAGATACTGATGGTGTTTCTGGGATGATGAGTGGAAAAGCAGAGAAAGATGTCATTACAACTCACACTTCTTTATTTGATAACAATTTGACAAATTCACTTTTAAATAAAAAAGGAATTAGTTGGTTGCTCGAGGTTGAAGACGACGATGACGAAACATTTGATAAACCGTTACTGTAAGAAATAAAATATTATTACAACTATGGTAATATTGTAGTTGTTTATAACTGAAGTTTTTATAAAAACATCAAGGGAGTTGATAATATTTCAAAAATAGTTACAAGATTAGTAAACTAAATTTTTTTTTTTAAATCGAGATTGACCTGTACAAACAATTTAAATTTGCTAAAATTTGACTTGTTTGATGAGTATAAGTCCTCCTTTATAACACAGACACAGATATATATATATATATATATATATATATATATATATATATATATATATATATATATATATATATATATATATATATATATATATGTATCTTATACTGCTGATTTAGGTGAGCAGTGTGATGTCATACTGAAATAGCCTGCTGTTGTGAGTTTCAGTACATACATCGACTGACTGGCTATTCTAGGAAAAAAATATGGGCGTATATATATATATATTATGTGTATATATATATATATATATGTGTATATGTATATATATATATATTCCCTTCCATCCCAGAGAAATTTAGCGGAAATATTGTTGAATATCCGTGAAAAAAACAATATTTGCTGTAAAAAAAGTAAAAAAAAAAAAAGGTCCTCAATTTTTAATTTAGGCAGCCAAATACAGTCGTCGCTCTCAAAACGGTCTAGAATAGCTCCTGATATTTATATATATATATATATATATATATATATATATATATATATATATATATATATATATATACATACATACATATATATATATATATATATATATATATATATATATATATATATATATGTATATATATATATATATATATATATATATATATATATATATATATATATATATATATATATATATATATATATATATATATATATATATATATATATATAAAGAAATGAGTGCAAGAGCGGCAAATAGCTCTCATAAAACGAATATGGTGAACTTGCGAGCTGTTCCTCTAAACAGCTTTTTAGGAGAGCTTTCGGTTTTTGTGAGAGCTATCTGTTTATTCATTTTAAAAATTGGTTATTAATTACAAAGTTTTGGTTTTATACATGTTATAAATCCAGGGCGCTAAAAAAATTTTTTTTAATGAACATTGGCGTTCAAATCTTTATTCAGTAAAGTTATATGTCATATAAGAAAGTTTTATTTTCAAATAATTTCTATTCTAGTTAATAAGTTATTAGATATTTCAATGATGTTTATTAAATTTAACTAATTTTTATTTTTTCAAAACAATTTTTTATGCATTGGCTAAGTGTGTGCAAATTAATGCTTATTAATATGCAATGACCTAATGATTGTAAATTGTTATCCATTGATACTAAATAATGAATTTTTCTCAATTTAGTTCACTAAATTTATTTACAATTAAAAAAAAATGGACAAACTTGAGGAAATTAAAATAAAAAGAGCTAAAAATAAAATTTTTTAAAAATAATATCGCATTAAGTATTTTATAATAAGTTAATAAAAATATCATATTGTTAGCCTTATTAAACGTACATTGAAAAAAATAATAATAATAATAAACAATATATAATATAACTCGCCCTGTATTTTACGTTTTTCCTAATAAAAATGTAAATAACCAAAATATTACATTTTAAATGTTACATTTGTTACACAACTATGGCTTTAAAGCTAACATTGATTCGCCGCTAATTTTTATTTACATGCTTTATTTGCTTATTAATATAAAGATTATTATTTCATAAACAAGCCATAACTATAACATTTAATAAACAATATTTGTATGTTTCTTTTATATAGACTTAACAAGATTTATTACATAGCGTATTTATTGCATAACAAGGTCAAATTATTCAAAATTTTGATTAATTCGTTCAAAAGTTAATAACTTTTTTTTCTTGTTTTTCTTTTACTTTTCAAATTGAGTTTTTTAGCGTGATTATTATGTTATTATGTTTTAAAATCTTTTAATTATTTATTATTATTTAAAATATTTTTAATGCAATTTTACTATTATTTGAAACAAAAAAGTTTAAAGCTCATATAGTTTAATTGCTTTGAAAGTTATATTATGAAAATGTAAGCGGAGGAGAAACTCATATAAGAGTATTTTTTAAATGTTAATGTTTATATTTAAAAATGCTAAGTGTTTCATATTTTAATTCAATCAAAATGTGCATTTTACATTTTAACCCAATTGTAACATATTCCATATTTTATCAACGTGTATTCAAATTAAGCATTTTGATTGACTAATAATATATTTATAATGTGTTTTAAAAGTCGTTTTTTAAATGTTAGTTTTTCTAAGCAACATTAATAGCATAACAAATTTTATCATCATAATTATCATAACAAATTATATCACAAAAAAGTAAGACCATAAGTAATAAAGAATTATTTTATTTTATTTTGTTAGGTGATTATATAAAATTGATTTAAATTGAGTTTGGGCTGAAATTTGGGGCCCATACTGGTATATCGGTATTAAAATCAGCCTGGATACGTTGCTGATATGCATATATATATATATATATATATATATATATATATATATATATATATATATATATATATATATATATATATATATATATACACTTCTTGTCAACACTCCTTGCATGTTCTGCCTATTTGTCAGATATATATGTAAACAGTAAAAAAATAAAAAACAATCAGAATGTTTTTATTAACAAAATAAAGAACATTTTAGTCTATTAAGATGCATTTTTTTGGTTTTTTAAAAAACAATAAAATTTATTGAGTTTCCTCAAGTAAATTTAGTGGTTTTTATACAAAGTGTACTTGGTTTTGTCACTTTTACAGACAAAGTCATTAAGAGCCATTTTTTACAACAAATGGTCAATTTAGATCAAGTTTTAATTGAATATAAATGTAAATTGTCCTTTATAAGGACTTCCATAAAGTAAATTATGAAAACAGTCCCAGTCAGCTTTAGGTTCTAGTAAGTAGTACTTACTAGTAATCGAGGTGAGTCTGAATAAGAAGTAAAAGACTAAAGGTTTTTAGAGATTTTTATATGCAAAAAATTGTCGTTACTTTAATCTAGACCAACAGCAAATATCAGAGATGTATCTTAATAAAATATCTATAAAAAAATCTTAATAAAATAGAGGAGGGGAAGTGTGAGATTCTTTAACATTTGCTAGAAACAAAATTGTTTATGCTTAAATACCTTTATGTTTATTAAAATATCAAAGTATATTAAAGAATTCTAATTTTTTTAAAATTTGTTTAGCCTGGCTGTGTAAAAGTTCTCCATTTATATCAGAAATACACTGGAAAGTTTTCAATGCTCTGGGAAATTACTATGAAGTGCCCCAATTTAATGGGTCCCTATTATTATATTAAAAAAGGTCTTTTTAAAGTATGTCATGTTGGGTCTTAACTCAAATTAAATTGTATAAAAATTTCCAAAATTATAATCATTAAAAATTTTTTTTTTTTGGTTTAACTGCATAAGTAAAATATTATAAGTAAAAAATTGAAAATTTTCATTTATTGATAGTTTTCGATCACGTGGTACTAAAAGTTTGTGTGCCATACAGTATAACGGCCACAAACTTTAAGCAAACAACGGCATCACAAAAAATAAACAAACATATATATATATATATATATATATATATATATATATATATATATATATATATATATATATATATATATATATATATATATAATTATATATAGAATTAATTTCTACATAAATTTAATAAAAATAATAGACTTTCTAACTTTAATTTCTATAAAAACCACATATTATACAAGAAAGTTTGGTAATAAACACTTATTTTGTTTACTTAATTTGACCTACAACATGGCGTAGCTTGAGCGTTTGTTATGCCGTGACATCATCTGAAAACTATCCATAAAAGTTTTTTTTCAAATAATTATTGTTTTTATTTGTTTTTTATGAAATAGTTTTCAAAATTTTTCTTTAATTTCTTTCATTTGAGACCCACTATGACTGCCACCTGTTAATTTTTCAAAGGTCTTGGGTCACCTCAAAATAATTTCCTCTAGCATTGATATTTATCCAGAGTATTTCTGATATGAATGGCAGGTTGTCAAGTCGTCATTTTTTTCATTTTTTTCATTTTTTTTGGGTTCTTTTTTTTTTTCTTAATTTTTTTTCATTTTTTTTGTTAGTTTCTGTCATTTTTTCATTTTTTTCTTGAATTTTTTACACTTTAAAGTTTTTTTATAAAAAAAATACTTAGACTTGCTGTTTTTGATATTTTTAAGTTGTTTTAGACATTATGTTACTTAGTTTTTTATTTAATTTTCAAAACTATTTTATAATAACAGTTACAATCTTTTATATTCACATTTTAATTTTAATTATCCATTTGTATTGCTAAATTGGTGTTATTATTTTAAAAAATAAATCATTCTATAGTATAGAATTAGTAAAGTTAGTGATTTTTATATTTAGTTTTTAGTATATTTATCAATAGATTATATAGTATAATAGTTAAGTGGAATGATGTGTGGTTGGAAAAGTTAGACAAAAATCTAGTGAAAATCCAGTTATGGGCTGAAAAAAGAAACTCTGAATATGCTATCTGTAAACTATGCAAATGTGATTTAAAATTCAGTTCAGTTGGTTTCCAAGCACTATATCAGCATTCTTTAAAACCTAAACATAAGTCAGTGTCTATCTAAGATTTTCAAAAACTACTATCTAACTAATATCTAAGATTTTCAAAAACTGCTCGTCATTTATATGGAGATTCTAACAAAAAATCTATTGGGGGAGAAAAAGTTATACCATTAAAGTTCTCTATAAATGAAAAAATTTCTGCTGCAGAAGCCATGTGGCTTTTTAAAGTGGCAGAGAATGATCTTGCCTTAAGACATTGTGACAACACACCAATATTGTTCCAAAGAATGTTTCCAGATAGTAAAATAAGTCAAGATTTTACTATGAGTCAGCAAAAAAGCTTCATATATTTTGCAAGATGACCTTGGGCCATTGTTGGAAAAGCGTTTATGTAATAGTATCACGTTAAGTCAAGGT